TTGCTCCTTGTTCTGCTAACTGTCACCATTGAGAACAGCCTCTCTCCATCCTCTTTGGAACCCCTCTTCAGGAAGCTGAAGGCTGCTACCAAATCCCCCCTCACTCTTCTCTTCTGCAGACTAAATAAGCCCAAATCCCTCAGCCTCTCCTCATAGGTCATGCGCTCCAGCCCCCTAATCATTTTGGTTGCCTTCTGCTGGACCCTTTCCAATGCATCCACATCCTTTCTGTAGTGGGGGGCCCAGAACTGAATGCAGTACTCCAGATGTGGCCTCTCCAGAGCTAAATAAAGGGGAATAATCACATCTCTAGATCTGCTGGAAATGCTCCTCCCAATGCTCCCCAGTACACCATTAGCCTTCTTGGCTACAAGGGCACATTGTTCACTCATATCCAGCTTCTCATCCACGGTAATCCCCAGGTCCTTTTCTGCTGAACTGCTGCTTAGCCAGTCAGTTACCAGCCTGTTACAGCTATCTCTGAATTGTGGATAATATGTATTAAGGTTATAACAACCAATCAGTATGCACTTTTTATGTAGAAAACCATGATTAAATCGAGTCGTCTTGACTAGTGATGTAAATCATGATTTAAATATACTTGATTTAAATCAGATCCACCCTATGGCAAACTGAGCACTTGTTTCTTGTCTGAAGTGAAAGAAACAGGAAATGACCACACTATTCATAACCGTATGAGGTTTATTTTTACCCTTGAGCACTTGTTACTGTGAAAGATTTTGAGAGAACTGAAAGTATTTTTATTTACAATCGTTATAAGTACTGACCATCCTGAGTCATATGACTTCTGAGTCAGAAGTGTTTTGTTTGGAGAACTCACAGAACTAAGTTTTTTCTTAGCTAATTTGGCAGTGGAAATAACCTTGTTTGTGAGAAAAACATTCACATTTAACATTCTCCTATTCATAGAGCAATTTTAAAAAACTGTGAAAAAATTGTTTGATCCCCCAATGCCTCTTCTCAACCGTCATAATTCAAGAAGTGGATAAGGAGCCTAAGCAAAACAGTGGTTTCATTTTTCGGAGGATTGAAATTTTTTTTCTTTGTCATTTGAATTAAAATATTTAGCATTTCAGGTTTTAACAATCCTCAGAAATTTCAGTGAAAACAGCCCAAAAATGCCAAGTTGAGTTTTAGATAGATATATTGAAATGCCACCAGCTGTCTCATGGTTTCCCCTCCCGCCAATCCTAAACTGATGTGGATCTCTTCAGAGACTTGCAGATTTTGGCAGTTTCAGGTTAATCCAGTAAATTCCTCACAATTAGGGCAAAAGTTCCTGTTCCCTATATTTTCAGCTACAATTTTAACTTTTAATCTTTAAGCTAAGGCCAATTTTCTAACAAGCTACTGTATATGATTGTAAATGTGGGGGGGAAAGTTAGTTTTTTAAGAGATTTTATCTTGATTTGCCCAGGCTTTCCATGTGATTTACACAAGATACATGACTTCTTTGGTTTCTCCATCTCACAGAAAGGTTATGAAAATTATATTGAATATTTTATAAAGCTATTTTGAGATCCTCAAATGGAAATAGATTTTTTTAAAATGTGCGTTTAAGCCCTGTGGTTGGTGAGACTTTTTAAAATTAAGATATATTAAAACTCTACTCTTTTGATAAAGCAATAGATACTCATGTAAAGAATCTCAGAAATATTTTAGCTTCTGACACTCATTCTGATGATATTGGGAATAGTTAGGCACCATAAGTAGTAAACTCTGAAATACAGTACTTAACTTCCTTGAACAATTTGCCACCTTCTTAGCTCAGTAGGCTTTGTTTTACTATTCATGGAAAATACATTTAACTATAAAGATTTTTGGGGAACAGTAAAACCAGCTCTAAGGCCGGGTCTACACAAGGATGTCCCATCAACTTTATCTGTATACGGTCAATTTTCTAAGAGGTCTATCCACACTACCACGCCTCTTGCATTGACCTTCAGGACCATAGATGTCAATTTAAGTACTCCTGCTTTGCACAAGGAGTAATGCTATTCCCGACCTTATACAGTCGAATTTACAGTATTGTAGATGCAGCGCTGCCAGAAAGTCGAGGCTGTTGGCCTCCCGCAGTTCCTCACCCTGACTGTTGTCAGTCACTAATAGAGTAGGGCCAGGATTTACTGCTATGGTGTCCGGACAGGTCTCTGGCTCCATTTCTGTTTTGAAACTGAAGGGGAGGAGGGAAGTTTTAGGAGCCGTCCTGCCCCCCCGCACATTCCCATTGTCCGGTTTCTGGCAGAAACCAGCCAATGCGAGTTGGTTGTTAGAATAATAGGCTGCTAAGAAGAATCATGCCCCCTCTCCTCGGCTCAGTGATCATGAAGCACATGGCCGGGCAAGCAGGCAGGCTAGCTGGGAAACATTTTAAGCTCTGCAGGCAGGCAGGCTAGTTTGGCAGCTGACAAGTAACTCTCGTGACCAGAGCCTGCTTCTGGCACCCTAGCCCTTCCTGCCCCAACTCCCTACCTCCCTCCTCCCCGCTTAACATACCCAAACCCTCTGTCCCCCTTTTACACCCATACCCCCTCCCAGATCTGGCACCCCAATCTCCTGCCACAGATCGCAATACACTCCTACCCTAAGTCACATCCCAAACCCCTGCACTCCAGTCCCCTGCCCTAGGTCACAGCTGCCTGCTTCATCTCAATTCCCTCCCAGACTCCAGTCTCCCTCCTGCACCCTAGTCCCTTATCCCAAGCTCCCTTCTGCACCCAACCTCCATCAATATTATTGGAAGAGTGCGGCCCTCGACTACTTTCCAAAATCTTGGACTGGCTCCCCATCAAAAATTATTGCCCACCCCGGTGTAGGGAGTGTTTTGATGATGGCCTCTAGAAATCCCAACATTTTTTAAAACATTTGTTTTCAAAACATATGGCATTTCTATGGAATAACTACCAAAGGCTCAATAACACAGAGAAAAGTGATCCTACTTAATATGGAGGGAAAAGTTGCTCCCAATAAAACACTTTGACAAAAATAGCTTAAGTCCGTTGCTGTTTGACTGACAGTAATTGGCACACCTTCTGTGTTACACGTTTATCAAAATTTTGAGACCCTACAACTAGCTCTGTCAATAAATGGAACAAAATTTTTATTATGGGGTGACTTGCAATGGAACTTTGTGAACTAACTAGTTGATATACTAAAGAGACTAGCTTCAACTTACTCTTTACAAACAGCAGTACATAGCAGATCAGCTTCTTAAGAAAACAAAGGCTGTTTCTTCTTACAGTTAGGTAATAAGATCACAGAGCCTCTCAAATTCAGATGAGTCATTCAGTTTCCCTGAACTGTCAGCAATGAAAATTGATCACCCTCTGATGGATATTCAGTTGCCATTGTGAAAATGGTTGCAGATTGTATGCATACATATATTTTAATTTAAAACTGTGATAGGCAATAAGGCAGGAAGAAGGCTGGGAAATTCTTTAGGCTCAGCAATAAAGCAGACAGGATACGTCTAAACATAATCTTGTGTTCCTTATTAAAGTTCATTGTTAAAAGAAACAATGTTGACTTCCTGCTATTGTTTTTTTACCATTGTTGGATGATATTGTGTCAGAACTTCATTCATTTTGAACTAGCCTAAATAAGAAATATAAATGGCAGATTTACCTGTGCGTCAGATTTTTTTTCACTCTAAGTCCACAAAATGGCCTGAATGGAAAAAGTACTTCATTAGATTTCAAATTACAGAAGATAATAGCAGATTGGCTAAATGCATGAATTTTGTAATTAAAGCGTAAAAGGCCTCTGCTTGAACAACCTAGGTGATGTATGTACTAGTAAAGGAAGAAACATAGAAAACTTTTTTTCCTAAAAGCTTTTGGGACTGGCAGGTCCTACTCCCACAGGTCCCATTGGCCATGGTTCTTGGCCTGGAGAAATTATGAAGTCTGCACAGGTTCAGGGACAGTACACAGAGCCTCCCTGTGCCTAAAGGCTGCAGGGACTTGGCTGGTGGCCACTTCCAAGAGCCGTGCAGAGCTAGGTGCATAGGAAGTTGGCCTTAGCCCTGGGCTCCTGCTGTGCTGCCAACTGGACTTCTACTGGTCCAGTCAGGTGTGCTGACCAAAGCTGCGAGGGTCCATTTTTTTCCAGGTGTTCCAGCAATTAATTTGATGTTTAATGGGCAATACACAATGTTATCAATGAAAAAAGTGATCTTGGGCTTCTGAAAGTTCAAAAACCACAGTCGAAAAATGCAAACTTGATTTCTGGTTTACTTACTAGGGGTGTCAACGTGTAGTCGACTACACAATGAACTGCTTAACCTCTGTATCGGAGGTAGCAGCGCAGGGTGGCAGTCAGCCAGTCTGTGCAGGGAGCTGCTTTTTAAACTGGCTCCCCTCGCAGACCAGCTCCTGCCTGCCACCCCATGCTGCCCCCATGCTGTACAGAGGCAGCAGTGTGGAGTGGCAGAGGGCTCTCCAGGAGTGGGGCTGGGAGTGCACTGGCTGCTGGTCCCATCTCTGGGACTATAGAATAGTCGTGTAACCACTAAGCTTTCATGTGATTACACGACTATTTGGTTACACAATATCTAACATCCCTAATATTTACCTTGATAAGATTAGTCGTGAGAACTTAACGAGACTAAAATGAATTTAAAGCTTTATATCTCTAATCTTAAAAATGCGCGCGCACACAACCTCATCACAATGGAAAAAACTAAACTAGCCATGTCAGGGCTCGGTCATGCAAAAAAAAAAAAAAATCTTCCTAGAAGGTGCAGAGCACCCTCCTGCTCACATTGTCTTTCGATAGATTTGAGTTCACTCAGGACTGGATCCTTAAATAGTTGTTCACTGTTCAAATATGTGATTGTAAACAATAAATGGTATCAAAATTCTAATTAGAAGAGTAGACTTCTAAGCACTCTTGCATAGCCAAAGAATGTAACTGTAGGTGTGTGGTAATTAAGTTGCAGAGAGAACCAGGGTGACTTTCAAGTGCCTCTTCTTTTTCAGTTTTGGGACCTTTGTCGCTCTAGGGGTCACCATCTTCGTGGTGTTTGTCGTCACTCTCATTCTGTGCTTCACCTGTTCATGCTGCTGCTTGTATAAAATGTGTCGGAGGCAACAGCGTGAGTATTGTTTATTTACATTTTCATTAACTTTTATCTTTTTTCATTGAAGTTTTGTTTTGATTATCAAACTTAGCAATCCTTCCCTGACACTTCGAACTCTGATATATATAGGAATATCTGGATTTTTTTCTGAACATAATTATCTATCCATTTTTTAAATGTTTTTTCTTCAATGAGCGAAAGTTGGAGTAATTGATTCCTTTAAAAATTCCTCCCTATGCGAATCTTTTTACAAGAGAAGGACCCTGAGAAATATATCCAGGCCCAAACAGTGCAGCAAAAACTGTGATTGTAATTAGTAAAAGATCATTAGTGACCGGATATTAACATTTTCCCCTCCATCTCCTGCTACATTTAAACAAGGAATCCTATCTGTCTTTTTGGATTATCACTGAGGAACACATTATCTAAACCATTTCCTGAGCTAGCCATATTATGTCAATTAAATCAGGAAATATTTGTCAATGGGTAAGCTGTGTTGTGTTGGCTATGACTCAAAACGTACTGTACCACTTTGTAAGTCTTAATGCATATTTTTCTACTCTAGACATCCCACTAAAATCCAGTTTGAAATGAGAATTACATGAATAATTTTCCAGAACCTAAGCCTTAGAAAACTAGAATGACAGGAAATCAAAAGAATGTTTGGAGTGTCTGTAATTATTGAAAATCTTTATTTCAAATATAGTGTTTTATATATTAAAAGATATACCCAACTTTTGGACTAACTTATGACAAACCACTAGTATTATACTGTTGACCAATTAAACAGGGGAACATTTTAATTAGAAATGTATTTTATATTTAACTTTAATTGCATTAGTGAGACCAGTTTAAAAATCTTTACTTGTTACATGATTCCAGCCCCACCACAGTGCTGCTTATCAAAAAACTTGAATGTTTGCAGGGTATGTGGATAAAGTGGACTAAAAATAGGTATGGTGGCCTAAATTTCATGCACACAGGTCTTGAGCTATAGCCATAGTTCTGTAGTTGGGAGGAAGGGAAAACAGGAATCAAAATCGTAGCTGCTCAGTTTAAAGCACACACTGCTTTAACTGTTGGCTAGGAACACAAATATATTTTGCTGTATGTCACAGGTAAGTCACATGGTAAGCTGGCCTAATTGTCAGGGGATGACTCCACTGCTCTTTCCTCTGTTCATTAGATGGATCTTTGTCAAGTTGCATATCACAGGCCACTCCCTCCTATACATCCCTTCTTTTCCACCACAGGACTCTGCCATGGCAGAAGGGCAGGAGAGTAGAAGAGGGGGATCTGGGTTAGGGATGTTAATATTATTGTGTGTTTGTGTAAATGTGTAATTGCTGGATTTGTTAGCAGTTACATGTTTACTCTCAGGAGAACCAGCTCCTACCTGCCCATCACTGCCTCTGATAGAGAGGTAGCAGCGTGGGGGGCAGGCAGCTCCATGGGAGCTGGTATGTGCCTGCTTGGAAGACAGCTTCCTGTGTGCCTCCCCTAGCCCCCTGCGATGCTGCCTCTCTATCAGAGACAGCAGTGCAAGGTGGGGGCAGGCAGCTCCAAGGAAGCCAGTGCTCATGGGGTGCTAGCCTGCCCCCACTGCACTGTGGGAGGCAGTGTGGGGGGGGGAGCGCAGGTGGCTCCTTGGGCACCTGCATGCATGGGGAGCCATCTTAAAAACCAGCTCACCACAGGCTCTACTTGTGTAATGATTAGGATTAACTGATAAACCTAGGCTTATTGGTTAATCGTGTAAATAACTACACACCAACATCCCTAATCTTCCCCCCCTCCAGTGGATCCTGATTCAGAGCTGTAAAGGGAAGTTGATGTATCTGTACCACTTTGTTTCCCAGGTTAGTCCCCCTGGATGGGGCACAGTCACAGCCTTTGTAGTAGAATATAGTTCTACAACATTCTCTCTTTCAGGTCTTCTATTGGTTCCCAACTCAGGAAAAAGAGAGAGCTTATGGATCAGTACTGTAATGACTCTTCCATAACTCCTGCTGGAGTTAATAACTCCTTCCATGCTGCCCCATGGGCTACCATGGACCTTTTAACTGTCCCTCCACCTTGTCCATGCCCTGCCCCTGTTATGGGGCAGGGTCTTCCTGGCTCAGTACTGCTCCATGCCTTGCTGTTTTTTGGTGTGTGGCCTGTAAACACCATCACACGCTGTTCATGAAGTACGTGGTAAAGCTACACTGCCACTATGAAGTGGTGGTAAGTGGCACAGTAGAGAATTAGGTCTTGTACCCTTTTTTAAGTTAAATTGGGTGACAATTAATGGAATAATTGACATACCAAGTAATAAGAGCTGTGAAAATAAGTAGCTGTTCAGCCCAATATGTTGAGTAACAGAACTAACATGGATCAATGCTGCTAGTGTTAACCTATCCCAGTAAACACTATTGGAGGTTTAGTAACAAACATGGTTCGTGTATTTTGCTACAAATCTCAGAGGAACATGTGCCAACAACATGCGTTGAAGAAACAGATTTTTTTTTAATGTCTGAAGAACAGTAGGAATCTCTGAAAAATAATGCTCAAATACAGATAAGAAAATATCTGCCTTGAGAGAATCTCCTTTTTTAATCTTTTCTGCCTTAAAGTCAGATGACGAGATGATGATGATACTCTGTTTTACAGAAGATAGTGAGTAACTTAACTTCTCAGACGAGCTTTGTTTTTAAAAAGTCAAGGAATATTTTTTTCTTTGGAGGGCAAAAGGAGGAGGTAAATTAACCATTGTCCTGGCACATGAAGGCCCTACTCCCATATAGGTCAGTGGAGGTTTAGCTGTGGACCTGAATGTGAGTATTTGAACATAAAAACGAGTAGCCCTGTAGCACCTTAGGACTACTCATTTTTAATCATAGCTACCCCTCTGAGTCTCTGAATCTGTTGGAGAATTCTGAACTGGGCTTTCTACCTGTGTGAATTACAAAGACAAAGCAATCCAGGATTTGCCTTTTGGGAAATGGAGAGAATAATCAAAATATTCCAGATCTTCATCACTTCTTCTGGGTGTCTGCTTGACACATTAGGAGTAATGCAACTTATGTTTTGTATATTTATAGCTGTTGTGACCACCACAACTGCCACCACAGTGGTTCATGCACCATATCCCCAGTATCCAGGAGTTCCACCGGGTTACCCAGCAGCACCCTATCAAGGATATCATCCTGTGCCAGTCCAGCCTCACCATGGAATGCCAGCAGCATACTACCCAACACAGAATCCTCCGCCCTACCCAACGCAACCCTCAGGACCACCGTCCTACCATCAGACAGTGGAAGGTAAGGCCATAGCCAGAAGGGCGAAACACAACTGAAGAAGAAAAATGTAATGTCTGTTTTTTTTCTTACACTAAGCTCACTAGCAAGACTACTGCATTTGTAACCTCTGTTAATTATACCCAAGCACTACCAGTCTGGCTGCTTGGGCATCCTCCTTTAACACTCTTGGCTTTCATAGGCTTAACATTAATACTTCAGAGCAGCGTTCCCTGTAAGCTGTGCACTTGTGCAGCCACTCAGGTGAGATTCAAATGCCACTCAGCTGATTAGCTGGTAGTGCACATAAAAATTTATTCCGAAGGGGGATGGAAAAAAAATCCACAAATGGATGGAAAGGATTAGAGGGAACATTGCTTCACAGAGATGATCTGTTTGTTTGCATTTTTCCAAATGAGATTTTTTTTTAAGTAAAATAGATGAAAGATGTGCCATTAGAATTTATACTAAGGGCACATTGACACTGCAAAATTCAGTTGACCTATAGCCACTGCAGTACATTGCACATTGCTTGTGTGCTTTTGCACTTGGCTTTTGCAACAGGCCTGGTTCCCAGGTGTGTGGGGTGGGAGCGTGCACACAGGGCTCCTTGCATTGCCCCTGCCCCAAGTGCTAGCTCCGTACTCCCATTGGCTGGGAACCTGCTGCTGGCTGCTTCTGGGGGCAGCATGGTCTGTGGTGCAGGAGTGGTAGGATTTGCTCCACTGCTGACCAGGAGCCACTCAGGGTAAGTCCCTCCTTCCCCAGCCCTGCAACCACCTCCCCCCAAAAAAGCTGGAGCCTCCCTCCTATGCCCCAAATCTCTCATCCTCAGCCCCACTCTGGGGTCCCCACTATGGTCAAATTATGTTGGGTCACACGCATCAACAATTTTCTCCAATTGGGTCATGAGTAAGGGTGTTAAGAGGCGGGTCATTCACTAATCACATAGTTCAGTGTTTCCCAATTGGTGCTCTGTGGAACCCTGGGCTTTCATGAAGCGAAAGTAGGGGTTCCGCGAGGAGCCGGTGCTCCCCTGCCCCCTCTGAAAGAGAGGCGCCGGCTAGCCAGCTTCTTAAAGAACACAGAGGTGACGCAGAGGTGTAGCGAGGCGGGGGCAGAGGGGAACAGTTGCTCCCAGCTGGCACACTAGGGGGGTGCCAGACAGGGGTGACCCTATGTGACCCACAGCGGGGAGGGAAGCACTTCCCCTCCCCAAAGGAGCCGGCGCACACTGCCTGAACAGCTGGGGCTGCGGCACTTTCTGCGTCGTGGGAGAAGTCAGGAGACCCGGGTCTGTGCAGCTCCGACTGTGCAGGCAGCGCTCTCTGCCCTGGGACTTCCCACCCTTTCCCTCCCCCCACCACCACAGGATGGCATCATGCAAGTAAGTTGCTGGAGTGCAAGAACCCCTGCTGTGCTCAGCGCGCACACCAGCTGCTTGGGGGAGGGAAAGTGCAGTCGCACACTTCCTGGAACTCAGAGGTGCTACAGGATTGCCTGGTACTGGTCCCAGCTGCCAGGTATTGGTCCCAGCTGCCCCTGTCTCCTGCCCAGGCCCCCCACGACTATGTCTACACTGGGAAGGTTTGGCGACGAAAGTGCTGTTGACATGCAAAAGTCGGCAATACTTAAAAATCAGCCACCTCTTTGCTTCCCAGCCCTCCCTGGGCTTCCATCTTAATTTCACGCCACTTGCATGACAGACCTGGCTGCAAACTCCAGCATCTGCTGTGTGAAATGATGGATCCCAGACTTCCCTCCCATGTGTGTTCATTGTGCAACCTGCCACTCACCCCAGGACCCAGCAGCACCCTGTTCCTGTCCCCAACACCCTGCCATCCACCCTAGCACCTAGCAGCACTCTGTCCCCGGCCCCAGTACTCCTGCCACTCACCGCAGCACCCAGCACCACCCTCTCCCGGGCCCCAGCACCCTGCCATCCATGTTTTTCAAGTTTGAAAGATAATGTCATGCTCTATGATCATCGTATCACACAACAGCTCTATTTCCCTGGAAAAACTAAACTCTTAATATCAAGGGTACAGGTCTGTAGGTGGGGGAGGTGTAGGGTGCGAACACATCCCCCAAGTTGCCCAAGCCTCCTTCCCCCATGCTCCAGCCAGGTGGGAGTAGGCTGGGTCTGATTTTCCTCCCCTCCTCCAGGAGTGAGGTCAGGGGCAGGGTTGGGCTGCTGTGGAAGGAGGGGGACAGCCACCAGCCCCACCCACGGCTTGGGCTGGGCTGCCGCAGCCCAGCCAGCCAGGCTGATTCTGCCCTAGCCCACCCAGGTGGCCAGGGAAGCAGGCTGCTTTGTAATCCACCAGTTGACCACTTGTGATGGACAGGTCGGCCGCCATCCATGTCTTGAGCATCTCAGATTTAGGGTATAACTGGGTCCTGCTGGGTGGGAGGGATGTGAAGGACGAGTCAAATGCTTATTGGATAGTCGACTAGTTGCTTCCCCCTTCTATTAAATAGAGGCAGCAAGGGGAGGTGAAAGAGGAGGACACTTCAAAGCGGCAGCGCCGCACGGAGCCCAGGATCAGATGCTCCATGTGGCGCTATCGCTTTGAAATGCCACAGGGAGCCCGGCGTCGGGCACCTTGTGTATTTCAAAGCAGCTGTGCCACTTGGAGACTGGGGTCAGTGGGGAGTCCCCAGCTGACCATGGGCTTCAGCATTTTCACTTTCGAGGTATAGCCACAACTCTAGGGCTGTTGTTACACTTCAAAGGCAGAGGCGCCCTATTGACAAATTGAATAGTCGATGCAAAAATGCATCGACTATTCGATTAGGCAATTAACCGATACTTAACCTCCTTAATGGGCATCCCCCATGCATTGGGCAATTAAGGCGGCTTGGTAGCAGACTGTTCTTTTCATTGCAAAGGTAGCTACCAGTTAGGACACCGATATAAATCAACAGTAGACGAACTGATGAAACGTATGCGTTAGATTCCTTTCGCTGACAGTTCATTTTGAAACGGCTGGGGGATGTGTTCGCACCCTACACACTGCAACTACACTTGTATTAATATTATTTTAGTTTAAATTAGTATTTATTTTTGAAATTGGTTTTTAGGTGCAAGTGGAAGATAACTGGAAAATAAGGGACCATTGTAAATTTAAATGAAAATTATTTAAAAATAAAATACTTTATAAAAAATGGTCCCTTACGTTCCATTTGTGCCCGTTTTTATTCAAAACAGATTTAAATATTGCAATGGGGAGAAAAGAGCAGCAGAAAATAAATATTTTTGTAAAATTATATTTAAAAATTGCAGTCCACATTTACAAAAAAAAGGACACATACCTCCTCCTCCCCTCGCCCCAGGAATTCCTGGGTACAGGCCTGGGGTAAGTCTGAGAGCTGGAGACAGCTCACTCAACAACTACCCCATCAGGGTCATCTGAAGAAGTGGGCGGTGCCCACGAAAGCTCATGATACCGTCCACATGTTTTGTTAGTCTTCAAAGTGCTACCAGACCATATGTTGTTTAAGTCTTTACCCCTTTACTGTGGAAGGTGTTTCTGGAAGACCATCAGAACGGCCATGAACCTCTCCACCCTCAGATAAAATATAATATCCATGTCTGCTTAAGTTTATATAACACTACACAACGAAGTTCCTACTGCCTCTCCCCCTGCCCATTTGCTGTTGCTTTCCCCTCCCACCATCAATTTGCTGCCGCCTCTAGTTATACAATCATAGAGCTGGAAGAGACCTCGGGAGGTCATCACGTCTAGCCCCCTGCCCAAGGCAGGACCAGCCCCAACTAAATCAACCCAGCCAGGGCTTTGTCAAGCCGAGACTTAAACACCTCTCGGGATGGAGATTCCACCCCCTTCCTAGGTAACCCATTCCAGGGCTTCACCACCCTCCTAGGGAAATAGTTTTTCCTAATATCCAAGCTAGACCTCCCCCACTGTAACTTGAGACCATTGCTCCTTGTTCTGCCATGCGTCACTACTGAGAACAGCCTCTCTCCATCCTCTTTGGAACCCCCCTTCAGGAAGTTGAAGGCTGCTATCAAATCCTCCCTCACTCTTCTCTTCTGCAGACTAAACGAGCCCAAATCCCTCAGCCTCTCCTCGTAGGTCATGCGCTCCAGCCCCCTAATCATTTTGGTCGCCCTCCACTGCACCCTCTCCAATGTGTCCACATCCTTTCTGTAGTGGGGGGCCTAGAACTGGACACAATACTCCAGATGTGGCCTCACCAGAGCCAAATAAAGGGGAATAATCACTTCTCTGGGTCTGCTGGCAATGCTCCTCATAATGCACCCTGATATGCCATTAGCCTTCTTGGCTACAAGGACACACTGTTGACTCATATCCAGCTTCTCAGCCACTGTAATCTCCAGGTCCTTTTCTGCAGAACTGCATTTTGAAAGGAGAAAACGAGGGACGAGCAAGTCTGCTGGTTCCTTGCCTTAATCAGTGAAAATGACTTCACCTTAGTGGCACAGAAAGAACGTAATGGTAATTTAGATGCAAAGACCAACCAGCAGATTCACCGCAACCAAAATAACAGCTTAGTCTCTGAGCCAATTTCCAAAATTATTCTGATTTTCCCAGTCGTTTTTTCCTTCTTAAATAATTACGTCTGCAATTTGTGCTCCTTCAAGGTGCCAGATTGACAGCTCTAGAGACAGCAAGTCCTCGGCTTCTAGACAAAACAAGTTCAGTACAAACTACAGGCTGCCCCACATTCCCCTATTTATGAGCCTCTAACCTGTCCTGAAAGGACCACTGAGGATGTTTCTATTCTAGGACATTTTGTGGCTGTTTTTCTACCTGGATAAAAGTGCTTTGCTCATCATCTTATCTAAGGCCGTGTCTTCACTAAATGGAAGATCAACACTGCCATGATTGATCTTCCGGAGTTCAATTTAGCAAGTCTAGTTAAGACTCACTAAATCAAACTCAGAGGGTTCCTCCGCAGGCTCCTGGTTCTTCTGCTTTTGCATGGAGTAAGGGAATCATAGAATCATAGAATAATAGGACTGGAAGGGACCTCGAGAGGTCATCGAGTCCAGCCCCCCGCCCTCAAGGCAGGATCAAGCTCCGTCTACGCCATCCCTGACAGATGTCTATCTAACCTGTTCTTAAATATCTCCAGAGAGGGAGATTCCACCACCTCCCTTGGCAATTTATTCCAATATTTGACCACCCTGACAGTTAGGAATTTTTTCCTAATGTCCAATCTAAACCTCCCCTGCTGCACTTTAAGCCCATTACTCCTTGTCCTGTCCTCAGAAACCAAGAGGAACTCTGACTGGTCTGTAGTTCCCTGGATTGTCCTTCCCTTTTTTAAAGATGGCCACTACATTTGCCTTTTTCCAGTCATCTGAGATCTTTCTGAATCTTAATGAGTTTTCAAAGATAATGGCCAAAGGCTCTGCAATGACACCTGCCAACTTCCTCAGTACCCTTGGATGCATTAAATCTTGACCCATGAATCTGTGTACATCTAGCTTTTCTAAATAGTTCTTATCCTGTTCTTTCCCCACTGAGGGCTGCCCACCTCCACATGCAGGGAGCCCAGGACATGTAATGTCTCCCGTTATGTGATTTATATTGATCCCGTGCTTATTAACCATGGCTATTTCCCACATCATCTGTCACTAGGTTACCTCCTTCATCCAGTAAGGGCCCCACACCCTCTCTGATCACCCTCTTATTGCTAACATGCCTGTAGAAACCTTTCTAGTTATCCTTCACATTCCTTGCTAGCTTCAATTCCAGTTGCGCTTTCACTTTCCTGATAACTCCCCTGCATTCTCGAGCAATATATTTATAACCCTCCCTAGTCATCTGTCAAAGTTTCCACTTCTTATAAGCTTCCTTTTTGTGTTTAAGCTCACCAAGGATGTCCCCGGTAAGCCAGTCTGGTCGCCTACCATATTTGCTTTTCTTGCTGCGCATCAGGATGGTTTCTTCCTGTGCCTTTAAAAAGGCTTCTTTAAAATACTGCCAGCTCTCCTGGACTCCTTTCCCCTTCATGTAAGCATCCCAGGGAATCCTGCCCATCAGTTCTCTGAGGGAGTCAAAGACTGCTTTCCTGAAGTCCACGGTGTGTATTTTGTTACTCTCCTTTCTTCCTTTGGTCAGGATCCTGAAATCTACCATCTCATGATCCCTGCTTCCCAGGTTGTCACCCACCTCTGCTTCCCCTACTAGTTCCTCCCTGTTTGTGAGCAGCAGGTCAAGCTGCACATGGCCCCTGGTCAGTTCCTTCAGCACTTGTACCAAGAAGTTATCCCCAACATTCTCCAAAAACTTCCTGTGTTGTCTGTGTCCTGCTGTATTGGTCTCCCAGCAGATGGTCGAAGAAACCAAAGCCCTCTCTCAGACACCACCTGCGCAACCACGCATTTACTTCCTCAATTTGACGATACCTACCCGGACCTTTTCCTTCAACCGGAAGGATGGACGAGAAAACCACTTGCGCTTCAAATTCCTTGATCCTTCTTCCCAGCGCTACATAATCTGCTGTGACCCGCTCAAGGTCACTCTTTGCCGTATCGTTAGTTCCTACGTGGAGAAGCAGGAAGGGGTAGCGATATGAAGGTTTAATCACTTTTGGAAAACTCTAGGTCACATCCTGAATGCGAGCTCCCAGTAAGCAGCACAATTCTTGAGATTGCAGGTCTGGATGACAGATGGATGACTCAGTCTCCCTTAGGAGGGAGTCCCTGACCACCACCACCTATCTTCTTTTGGGGGTGGTGGTCGTGGAACCCCCATCCCTAGGACTATGCATCCCATGCCTTCCGATAGATGGTGTTCCTTTCTGATTTCTTCCCTGAGAGGTCCCTGCCAAAGCATTCTCCACTGCAGTGCCTGTGGAAAGAGCCTGATAGCGGTTACTTACCTCTACAGGAACGGGGGATACCTGAGTTGGCCACCGCCTTCTTCTAGAGGTTACATGCTGCCAGTTTTCCGTGTACTATACTGCCCGGACTGGCTCGTCAGCCTGCTGTGCCTGCAGGATTAAGCGCTGCCTTCTATCGAGAAAGTCTTCATCATCTCTGATGGAGCGTAGGGTCGATACTTGGGCCTCAAGTCCCCTAATTTTTTCTTCCAAAATGGTGACCAGCTTGCACTTAGAGCAGATGAAATCCCTTCTTTCTTCTGGGAGGAAGACAAACACGGCACAAGCTTTGCAGGTAACAGCAGCAGAGCTATCTCCATCCATACCTGCCTTCCTTCTGGGAGATTGCTCAGCTGTTATTAAATGCCTCCTCAAGGGGCCTGTATCAGCTTCCTCCTTTATCTGGAGAACTCCCTCTCCAGACTCCCTGTTAACAGCCCCTATCGCCTCTGGCTGCTCCCTCCCGACTTCCCTATGGTCTTGTTCAGGAAGAGTGCTGGTGCTGGGGGTCTAAATTGGGATCTGCTGAGAGAGTTGGTCCAGCTGCTCTGGCAAGGGGGGGATCTGGCCAGTAAGAAGGTGTTTCGCGCTTCCTCCTTTATCTGGAGAACTCCCTCTCCAGACTCCCTGTTAACAGCCCCTATCGCCTCTGGCTGCTCCCTCCCGACTTCCCTATGGTCTTGTTCAGGAAGAGTGCTGGTGCTGGGGGTCTAAATTGGGATCTGCTGAGAGAGTTGGTCCAGCTGCTCTGGCAAGGGGGGGATCTGGCCAGTAAGAAGGTGTTTCGCTGAGTA